ACTTTAAATGATGAATCAATGCGAGCTTAATATGTTAATTGAACCTTGAAGTGGTGCTTCGTGGCAGAGCGGACCTCTCTTGGATAGGTGTCTTAACGTCCTAGCATCCCTTCATTGCAGTGAAACTACCTTTACAAAAAAAAAAAGTTACATGCTGACATATATTAAGATAGGTGCTTTCACGGTTTAGCACTTTGCCACTGCAGTGAATCCACCTTTAGAAGGAGTTACATGCAGACTAATTACACCGAATCGTTCGTTTCGAATACTTTGAAATTTCCGACAATTTAAATTCGAATAGAATGCAAGTAACCTTTATTCAAATATATACACAAGCCTAATAAGTTAACATCTTCGGTGTTATTCCTAGCAACATATGAGCTGTGAGACTGCATACTCTTAGTACAATACAATGTGCCCTCAATGTTGTTTCACAGCATTTCTCGTATCTTTGTGTGCACAGACAAGAACGATAACACAGTTTAATGATATTTTGTTTTCTTATTTACAACAGATGCAATTTAGTTTTGCCTAAGTCTCTAAAGACTCTTCTTGTTTCCGAGCTCCTTTCCCTTCTGCTAGTCTTCTTCCTTTCCGTTTCCTTCGGAGGAGTCGCTGCTGTTGCTTCTTGCGTTTCTTGGCCTCTACTTCATCTGGATCGAGTCCCTGTAGGATCAGCTTCTTGCGCCAATTGATCAACTTGCGCTCCTCAAAGTCCTGTTCGTCCAGGCGAATCTCGGCCTCACGTAATGCCACCGACACTTGAGTCAGGATCTTCAGCACTTCCGACTCTGTTGAGGCAACATGAAAAACATTCTCTCACAAGCAATAACAAAAAGGATTAGGTAAAAATGTAAACGTTAATTTGATCTATTAGGAGCTACGAATACTACAATTAAACCGTACTTCTGGATTTCTAACATGCCCTCAATGCAAGTACCATAAAAAAACTAAGGTGACGGGTGGCAGGTTGTATATGTGCTTGTTACCTAAAGAATGTAAAGTGACCTTCCACAATTACTCGCACCACTTGCAAAACCATTTCTAGTTGCAACTCTCAACCTACATAAAACCTCCCTGCTTTAAAATAAACTAACTGTAATAAGACGGACGCTGCATGCTGTCGGTAGCTTGGCTTGCATCTACAATTGTAGCATATATCCTTTCCTTGCGTTATATAAGCACCAAGCCAACGGTCATTCTGCAAGTCACTGCTATCACCGATGTGGGGGACAGATAATTCTGCAAGGAGCTAACTATTACCAATTTTTTTAGGTACACTTGTCAATCTGTCTATATACATAGCAGGCACACAAAAATTTGCTCTCACCCTTCGTAGACTGAAGCACAAGCTTAGTCTTGATGAGTGTCTCAATGGCTTCCACCAGGTGAACGTCGTGTTGTGTCACGAGAGTGATCGCCTTTCCGCCACGGCCAGCACGTGCTGTACGACCCACACGATGCACATAGTCCTTGGGTGCTGAGGGCACATTGTGGTTGAGAACGAGCTCCACGGACGGGATGTCCAAACCTGCAGGCGGTAATGATGGCAAAATGAGTTTTGTTATTCCCAGCATGACAAAGCAGTGTTGCACATGTCGCTTAATTACCAAGCAGTACTGGGGTGAACCAACTTAGCCTCATTTCCGTAGCACTCGCAATAAAGAAGCCCACAGTTTCGTTCAAAAGACCACTGTTCCTTTAAACATCATAGTGTTCACATTCCACCTATACTTTATATCATTGCACTTTTGTAAACCCAGAGGCCATTATCACAAACTCCTCAGTTGTTTCAACTAGGCTGTCTAATAGGAAAACAGTAGAATTCGAAAATAGAAAATCATACTACTGAGCAATACTATAACATATTCTGCAACTAAGTAACCATAAAAATAATGGCTATTGCATGAGTCTAACTAGACTTTCAAACTTATTTGGAGATCAACAAAAGCAAAGCTGCTTTGTCTGAGCGCAAGGGTCAATTAGTATCATGGCCTCGAAATCAGATCATGAGATGGCACAACAGGCTAGTGTACTAGACACACTGGACCAATGGTTGAGGCTGAGACATTCACTTCAATAAAAAATCTCCAATACAGGAAAAGAGAAGACAGGAACTGTGAGAATACCTCTGCTGGCAACGTCGGTGGCCACCAGCACACGAGTTGTATTCGACTTGAACATGTTCAGCGAAGCGAGCCGCTCTCTCTGTGGCATCTGTGAATGCAGCGGTGCATTTGGAAAGCCAAGAGACTTCAAGGCAATTGAGAGCACCTGACATCCCCTGAAATGAGCAAAAAAAAAAAAAAAAAAAAAAAACAGCATCGTTAATATACCAGTACGCAGCAAGTAATGCCTTTTGAGGAGCACCCCAATAGAAAAAAATACTTTGTATATCAATGAATCACCTTCTGCAATACTGAAAATGCTGAATTGATGTTTACATCGTGCACAATAAGCCAAAAAAAGGGGATGGCAAATGAAGCATGCAATGGCATTGAACTGGCAAATGATCCAGTTTAGCACGCAGTTCAGAGACTGGCACTGCCACACTATGTCCTCACCCTAACTTGTTCACTAACTCAATACTGCCATATGTGGCCCATTCCAAAATGCAAAAAACAGTACCTGCCGCTCACTACTTTTTGAACCACTTCTTTCAGAGGCCACAAACGGCTGGCAACACACCTAAGTGGTACTGTTTACGTACTCTAAATCAGTCCTACTGGTGCCAAGAGTTCCTGGAAAATCTAAAACAGGTTCCATTTATAGGATTAACTTGATCAAAATTCATTTAATTACAGCCCTAAAATATCAATGGTGTCAAGTTAGGCTGCTGTACAGTTCACTGCTCTTGATCTTGGCATTTGCTAGGACAGATCTCCAACTCTAAACTATATTTAGGAGACAGGAGCCAATTGTGAATATGAAAATGTTAACTGCAAAGCATTTAAATTCACTCACACATTTTCAAAAAAATGCATTCTAGGGTTTTACATGCCAAAACAATGTCGCAGTGTGGCACAGCTAATTAGTTATGAATGCATCGGGTTCTTTAATGTGCATCCTAGTTAAAGTATATATGGGCATTTTTACATTTGGCTCCTATGTAGCTGTTGTGGCCGGGAATCGAATCTAGGTCCTCAAGCTTTGCTGCACGACAAATTACTCGCATTTTAAATAAGGAGTCCACTGTACAAACACAAACAGTGCTAAAATGAAAAGGTGAAAAAGTGGTACGCATACTTGCAAGTGCCTGTGAAGATAATGACCGAGCCCTTGGGCATGGAATCGAGAAACCTCTTCAGTATGTGCACCAGGTAAGCCTCTCGCACAGAAACTGGCATCAGGACGTAGCGCTGGTCGAGTTCTTCAACTGTCACCACATCAGCAGGGGCCGTGTAGAAAAATGGGTCGGTCATGGCAACGCTGCGAAGTTCCTCTAAGGTGGCTGTGATGGTGGCACTGAACAGCAATGTTTGCCTTTTCTTTGGCAGTGCACCAAATATGGTCTTAAGCTGTGTAACAGAACATAAGAGAGAAAATTCAGACGCGGCTTCGCTTTACGTTACACAATCGACATCTACTTGACAGAGCACAGTACTCGGCGATGCTTCAGCACACGAGCACTCTCAATCACAACCAAACCCCACTTGGATAGTTTCTCAGTGGTGATTGGCCCCTCTCGAGCAAGTTGTGGAAGGGTGCAAAATGCAAAGAAGGCCAATCGTGATTTGAAAATGTTGCGTGTGGCTGCGGTACGATGCATTCGCAATTGAACAAGCGAAGCCATGTCTCGGCAACAATATATGTCGTCTTTGCAGCTTGAGCATTGTGATTATCATAGCTTCATGGACGAATTTTCGCGACTAACACCAAGCATGTATAAACATCGGTAAAGTGCACAAACCTGTTCGTTGAAATGACCTTCAAGCAGCCTGTCTGCTTCATCCAACACCAGGAAACGAATCCTTTTGAGCGTGAACGTGTTGCAGCTTTCCAGGTGGTCAGCCAATCGTCCTGGTGTGGCCACAACAACATGTGGACTCTCGGCCAGGACCTGGCCCTGTGTGACCATGTCCATTCCTCCGACAATGACGCATTCCTCGAAACGAAAGAAAGAAGAGCGCAATGAACCGCTGGAACATTCTTTTCAGCTGCGGCTAGCCCTGGTGAAGCCGTGTCGTAATGCAGTTGAAGCTTAAGTATTTTGTTTCTTACCTTCAGGCCAACCGCCTTGCCGACAACCCTGAATTGGTCACATATCTGAAAGGCCAGCTCACGAGTTGGAGTTAAGATCAGTGCGAAAATCCCGTACGGATCCTCGAAAAGCTTTTGTAAAATCGGCAGTGCGAAAGCAAGTGTTTTTCCACTGCCAGTTTTTGCACATCCTATGCAGTCCTTGCCGTTCAGAATAGCAGGAATGCAGTTTTCCTGGATTGGTGAGGGTTTGCTGATGCCTGAAAATCGGTAGCAGAAAATTAACCATCCGAAAGACTGCGACGTCGGACAGGTGATATAACACCAGAAAATTTGTGATCAAAATCGCTTCACGCCAATATAACATTCAATTACTCTGTTTGGATAGTTGCATAACTGTCGGTGTTAACAACAAATTGTCGCGAAAATTAAACGACAGGAACATTTGGGGAAGCATGATGACCAAGGTCGCTTCACGTCAACATTACTACAGCTTCCAAAATCACTAGCAACTGACATTTTTTAACGGCAGCTTTTCCAAGAGTATTAAGACCAAGCATACCTAATGTCTCTAGTTGGTCGATTATCCACTTGTTAAGCTTGAGATCCGCGAAATTGACGGTTTTCGAGTGTTTGACAGTGGACATCATGCCATCCTCACTGGAGGCGGCCATCTTAAAAGAGGTATGTTCATGGACAGATGTAACAAAATTGAGGAGACTGTGCAACGGTTTGTCTAGTGCTGCCATCTACGCACGTTTGTTTGTTGCCATGCGTCATCCGTGCTCCTCGCTTCCTGCACGCTGCCATAGTTGACGCTGCAGTGGAAAGAGCGAGCTGATCGAGTGGCGAGGAGAAAGCAACGCAAGCAAGTCTGGTCAAGTTTGCAGTGCACATTCGGCGACGATCAGTGTCATGAGCGAGCGCACGATTGCTGGTGACGAGAAAGTTAACAGGGACCGTATTTCCTTGCTTACCCCTCGCCTGCACAGCAGCCTCCAAGAGCTAGCCGCCCTGCGGACCAGGTTTGTGCTTTGTTCTGGTCTGCACTAGCGGACACTTCGACGTCGTTTTTCGGAATTCGCGGGAGCCGTCGTTGCTGGTCTGAGGGCATGACTCATACACCACCTTGGCGACCACCACCAGCGGACGAAACGGCTTCCCTCTGTTATTGTTCTGCAGCTACTACGGCGTTTGCCATCGTGCGGCTAGCTCTCTCTTGTCTATTGGCATACTACTAACTTAGTGCGCGTGTTTATTCTCTTGTTCGCCATCAAAGAACTTGAAACTGGAGGGATATGGCAAGAAAGCTGGTCGAGGTTTCTGACGATTCCGCTTCATCGTCGAGCAGTGCCAACAGTGGCGGTACGTATTTGTCATCAGTTTTCATGCACTTTCCATTCTCCGATCACATGCACTGCAACATAGCCGCCGCACCCCGCTGATCTCCCTGCGCTTTCTTTAGCACCTGGCCCGAAACGTTGATGGAGCGACGGCGTTGATTCGCAATTCTGCGTTGACGCAGCTTGCATTTTAATTCTTGCACCGTTTGCTGCTGCATGCACCTCGAAAAGATGCAGAAATGCCCGCTTGATGTGCATCGTTTGGCCGCTTTGTTTACTGCCCGCGCCTCTTTAACCCCTTGGCACGCTGCGCGTGCGTCGCGCGTGCCGGGACCTGTTGCAACAGCGCATTGTGCATGGATGGAAAAAGGCCGGGGCATCGCGCGGCACGGTGAACCTGGCGCCGACGGCAACGTGAGTCAGTTCATCTCGCGAGTTCACGCAGTTCATGCACCTTTTACTCCGGCGGCGCGTTTATTTCACGGTCGGTCGAGTTCCCCAACAGTGTACGAGGATGAAGTGGGCGAGGGTTACGGGCGAATTCGGGAGGGCCGCCGGAGCCCGCTTTCGCGGACATGATGCAACATGCCCTTCCGTATATTCGCCTGATTGCGTATTAACGAACAATCGGCCTGAGCGTATTCCTGGAAGCGCACCAGGCTCTGCTGGCGCCCTGTCCTCCCGACTACGGCTTACTTTATTTAGTTTTGCTTCTTCTGATTGCCTGCCGCGGTGTTTGGTTGTGTGGAGCTAGGGAAGAGGTGTTGGTTTTGTTTACTTTTTGGTTTGCTTTCGGTGGAGGGAGAGGAGTCTCATCGCGACGCACGTGCGTTTTGTTTGTTTGTTTTCGGGTATGGTCAGGCCGTGCGTGGCCCACCCGTTTGGAAGCTTTTGAAGAGTGGCTTTTTTTTTTTCTTGCTTTGAAAGGTACGAAGTGGTGCAGGTATGCTTGTTCGACAGTGGACGAATTGGGAAAGGGTTGGAAGCGGTGACTGTCTTTGTGCGACGCGAGCTTTGCTTGTGGAGTAGCGGGTCTCCGTGGGCTGGTGGTTGAAAGAGCGATGTTGATTGGGAAGTCGTGGCGAAGTAAAGAACCAACTTCTAAAGGAAAAACACAAGGGATACTGAAAACGAAGGCTTAGTAACTCGCGTTAGTCCGGCTTCGTCCCATCAGTTCCGTGTCTATCGTTATTTAGTTGGCTGTCTCAGTAAGGTGGTTTAATTGACAAGAGGGGATATTCAGCCGTCTTGGGAATCATCCCATTCGGTCATCATGCCGCGCGTCGTCGGCCGACTACTATGTACAGTTTACTAGTTCGAACTTCCGTGCACTACTACGTAACTCGAGCTATATAATATCCAATATATGTTGACGTATTTCTACACATGACGCACCAATTTTGGTTAGGTAGATGTTGCCCTTATCACTTGATAAGGCTAGGCAGCCTCAAAAAGCCATTTCTTGGTTTTATCCTTGGAGTCAGTTGGTAGTTGTGCAGGGAAGGGTGTAGTTTTCGTTAATTGTAGAGATTTTTTGCCATTACAATGCCACTCCATACAATGTAACGATCACTGTAGGGCGATTACCTGCAGATGCATCAATGAAGAGACCCTTTGTGCTTGTTTCATAATCACGTTAATCAATCTGCTTGTTATGCTTGCAACATGTCATGCTAAGAACAGCATTCTCTCGAGCACTCTTGCATTGTTTACTGAGAAAGGAAGCCGTGAAACACGTTCCAAAAATCCAAGGTTTAGTGGAAAGAGGTCTGCGTACGGCAGTGATTCAGAGTCACGTTAGTGGTGGTGATGGGCTTTCCATCGGCACTTCCATGAAAGAGGTGCCTGTCGCACACACATCCGTCGCACGGCATTGTCTAGCGTTTTGCGACACGAGCGCATGTCAGAAGGACGGCAGCTCTCTGTTCTTTCCTGGATTTTCTGCGCACGTTGGGTTTGCTTTTGGGGGTGTGGTTCTGGATGACCTTTTCGTTTCTTCGTTGAAGCTGCACATGTTCGACACTGATTTTTGTGCGTTTGTGCACCTGTTCTTCTTTTTCCATCGAATGTGACTTGCTCTGAGCTGTTATTGTTCATCTTCAATTGTTGTTGCATTGAAAGTCAGTTTTGATTGTTGTCTTCCGAAAATCTTGAACAGCATAACAGGCGCTTATGCTGTGTAATCTCATGCAGGACATGACATGGTAATTTAACGAGCCTTGAGCATACTTGACTGTGCAAAAAAGCACGTTATTTCTTGATAAAATGTAGGAAGTGAAGCTGTGCAAAAGAAAGCCTCGGGTTTGGAAAGTCTGTTTTGTACCGCTGAAGAGGTTAACCATCCTGCTCATAAAGGCACAAACAGAAGCACAGTGTTCTAAGTGCTGCACCCTAACATGAAACTTTCAAGCGTTAATAGCCTTTAGTATGATTACAACATCTCCACTGGTTTCATTTTCATAGAATAGTAGTCATAACTGGCATAAGATTTTTTTTTAACTCGTTCGGAATTTCTCATACATGCCTTGTGCAGTGGCTGTGTAAAAGGATAGCAAGCTGCTAGTGGATTCAGACAGCAGTAGTTCAGCATACTCTGGTTCAACACAATAGTCAATCTTTCTGTTTTACCCAGCATTGTTACCCGTTTAGTGACACTTGACTTTGAGTGTCGGCATTTCTGATGTTGGTAAACAAGACTTGTAGATGTGATATCAAGTGCCGGTTATCTTGATAACTGGCTCATATGTTCATCAAGACCACTCATGCATTCAAATGAGTTTCTATTGTAATATTTCTCATGTTAGTCAGTAAAAATAGGCACACAATAGTAAAGCATTCAGACTGCTTGGTCTGTATTCTGTGCTGAAGAAACCTTGTGTATTTGCAGCTTCAAGAGTGTCTTGTTGTATTTAATGCAATGATATTACATACACAGAGGTATCTTTGTGCCGCGGGAAAGGAAGGTGCTCACAACTCAGCAAAATCACATTGGTTTGGTTCAGTCTCGTTATCTTTCTCTTCATGCCAGTGACCATAAGATCTTCAGGTACAAACGCCAACATGCCTGGTGCACAGCATTGCACCGACCCAGTTGCAAATGACTTAGCTATGCAAAACAGTGTACACTGCAAAGCTTATCTCTTTTGCAGGGGACATGACTAATCGCCTTCTTGGTAATTGCAGATGCAAACGGAGGACGATCAACTCCCGCCGGCCTGCAACGACCGATTCTTCTTCCTCTGCAGACTCAGATGAGCATTCCCCTCCCACTGCTACGCAGCACGCCGACACACGAGGAGACGCGGGAGGAAGGCAGAGTGCTTCTCAGCTCGTTTGTGGACTATCAGGTGGCACAGGAAGGAGCAGACATGGACGCAGAGGCCAGCAACGAGTCCATTGGGGACATGGTGTACAGCCACACCATCGATGAAGAGGATATTGGCACTCCGCATAGCCGCACTGAGGCAGAGGCTCTGCACCCTGTTTACCGCAACATGGGTCGCGAGCTGCGCGCCCTCGCGGACCGTTTTTCCCAGAGCCGGGAACGAATACGGGTGCGAGAGGAAGCCAACTCATTGGATCTCTCGAGCTTGACCAGGGACAACCTCACAACGCTGATGCTTGAGCTCTTTGAGGACGGCTTCAGCCGCGAGAGGCTGGTCACGTTTTTCTTCTTCTGCAGCGACCTTATCCTGAAGTCAGTCCGTTGCTCCGTGGGCGGACTGCGTTGGCAGGTTGTTGCCTGGGTGTGGGCTTTCCTTCGAGACCGCGTCTGTTTCTGGGTGCTCCAGCACGGCGGGTGGGAGGCCGTGCTCACAAACTATCTGCCCAAATTGGCCATCACAGCGGCGGGCTTTGCCGTGTGTGTGGGTGTTGTATTTTACATTTGGAAGAACTGGTGAGGGGATGAGCCGGCTTTCGAAAGCCGCAGGATGCGTCATTGCTCATTCTACATGCCTTTTTTTTTCCTCCTCTGCCCAATGTTCACTGGCAGGGAGATTTCGTCGTTTGTTCGAGCTGTCGGGAATGTGCCATTGTTAATTGTTGCCACGACCGCCCTTGCATGCTATCGTGAGGATGTGAGCATTGACAAAGCATTGGCGGGCAGGCAGTCTTCCGTGTGCCTCTTGTCCGTTATTCTCTTGCACTGCCGTGTTGACATTCCTTGCACTGAGGTATGTTGTTATGCAGTCATTATTTATCCAGACACTTTGCCAGCTAGTACCAATGTGCCAGCTGGTTTTGAGTCTCTCATTGAGCTATGCTTTTGTGCCTTGGACTGTGATAATCATATATGTACAGAGGCAGGATGTTTGCCTTTGCAGCAGGCCACTTCAAAGATTGCCCATGCTCCACGGAATAATTTATTCAAAGTATCATCTACTGAAACATTTGTGTCTAAAAGTAACTTGGACAAACCTACCTGGTCTATTTGGCCTATAGTTTGGCCATAATGTTTGGCAATATTAGCGATAATATTAACTATGTATATACCACTTAATTGAAATCATGCTAAATTCTGAACACACAACTTTGTTTAACAATAGTAAAATATCGTAAAAAGGCAATTAGCCTTTAGTTCTTGTTTTCTATAACCTCTAAATTTAAACTTCAGGGCCACTCTCATTGTTGCTTTCAATTCTAGCAAAATGTGTAGTAGGAGGAGCTGATCTAAAAACATTTTGCTTGTGTCATGGGTGATCTATTTGATGTGTGCTTATTTAGGAAATTCCTTTTGTCCAAGGTCGGCAAAGCATGGTTCTTTGTTGGCCTTATGTACGGCCTTTGCATTGCTCACTGGACGAAACCAGCGTTTCCAGTGTTTTTGGTCCTCGCGTACTTGTCAGGCATAGTATACATGCATTTTGTGCAGCATTATGTATATTTGTGTTTGTGTGTTCAGATCTCATGTTTTAGAGATATTATTGTAGCTTGTTCGCTTTTTTTATGAGGCTGTCAGGCTTGCAAAGCAGCTGACAGCAACATTGATATTTCACTGAGACTGTGAGAGTATTTTTTAGAATGTTCTGAATGCTGATTGAGTCGTGTAGCTCTTTTGCTGACACGTATACACTTGGATTGTTTGTTTTTCAGCGATTTGATTAATTTTAAAGGCAGGTGTCTGTCACTTTGTGTAGCTGCCCATACTTGGCTCTTCTACAAGCACTTTTTTTGTAGCGGCATATTTTGTTCCGGTCATTTCCTGCCTTGTAGATGTTTATACAAGCATCATTGTTCCTATGGAATTTCGCTGGAGTGTACCCAGGGAACGCACATTTAGCAGGCCTTCCATGACGCAAATTGCCAGCAATAACACAGCACCCTATCATATGGCTGTTGTGTGGCTCGGTCTTTCAGGATGCGGAGCACCTTTAGTAGCAAACCACTCTCGTTGGGTCTGCATGTAGCTCAAGTGGCCCACTTGCCAGTAATGTGCCATTTTTTTACCCTTTAGTTGCAGACAGTAAACTTGTCGCCTTATTGTAAAATTGATTCACGTCAAAAAGTTTTCTTGACTTTCTTAACAGGGTGAATGAAATTTGTGACAGGCTTGCCTTTCCTTAAAATTCATGCCATGGGCTAACAAATATATTTCTTTGAGTTCATGAAGAAAAAAAAAAAAAGAGGAGCGCAAGCCTTTTTGCTTAGTGGCAAAACCCCAAAATTTCATCCGTTCAGATTTATTTATTTATTTATCTGTTCAAGTCGCCACAGCCTTAGCTACGCATCAGATTTCTTTATAGTTTTTACTCTCTCAGGATGAAAGTCCAACTCCGAGGTACCGGAAGGTTTTATTCTTTTTTCAACAAAAATTCAGGCCATCAATTTTCTAGGGTCGGCCAGTTTGCCGTTCCTGAAGATCCAGCTTAGCCGATAGAGGAGAGTTGACCTGTGTGACTGACAGTGATGCATTGAACCTTGTGTAGTGTTTTCTTGGTTTATTTTATTTGTTGTACTTTTTTGAAGTGTTCCTTCTGGCTAATCACTTTGCTTTGTGTAACATTTTCTTGCCTGCTTCAGTGTTGAGCGTAATTTTTTTTAAACGAGCTGCTGTAGTAATGGCAAATGGAGCACTGTGTCATTTTGTGTACATTGCGACAGCTGCCCCTTTGTGCCAACATTTAGCCCAAATCAGTGGCCCTTCATTTACCACTTTGTGGCAATGCTATAATTTTAATTTTTACTTTGGCAGTAGAGCAGTACTGCTCCTTTTTTCGTTTTCATGTATTTTGAATCTTGCATAAAATTTTAAGTTTTAAATGTGCGCTGCCAAAAATTAACCAGGTGGTTTATTGCGGATGCAAGTTACCAGCTTGGCGTTTCCCAGTATTACTGCGAGGTCACACAGTTTCTCATTTGTGGGAGAACGCTGAGGCTCTTGGAAGATTGTTTTGTGGTGCAAGACTTTTTAGCTGTGTGTGTGACAGAAACCCCACCTTCGTAGAGTCTTCTTAATTTGTTTGCTCAAACTTTCATGTGGCTCACGTTTCTTTTTAGCGTTTAGTTGTGATAAGCTATAAGGCTGTCTCAAAAGCTTTAGACATGTAAAACCCCCCTTTTTTTAATTCATGCATGGCCCTAACGGGGCGTGCCTAATGTACTTATCTCGTGCAATAGCTTTTTCTGTGGGCTGAGCGAGCACTTTTAACAGGCTTTCACAACTTTCTAGAACAGACATCTCTTTGATGGCTTCATTCTCGTCTTGACTTTTCTTTTTTTTGCATGAATCTTCTAAATGTTTCGTTGGAAGCCGAAATCGGGGCTTTAATTGCAAGTGTATGAGTACGCTTTATCTTTGTTTCATTTTCGTGAGCATCGTTTCTGCTCGCACCTCGGCAAAATAAGGGTGAACGTTTCTCAGCAATGCAGTAAATGCACATGCCGCGTTTGGGAGGTTGTTGTACTGAGCGTCCCTAAACTATTGCTAAATCGGCGGCAGCATGTGTCAGATATAACAAAGGAGTGTGAACAGCGGGAGCACAGTTAAGTTGAGGCACTGTCTTGTCCCAACCAGCTCATAGTCTTATGTGCCTTTGACGTATATGTTCTTGTGGCTTGCTACAGCCTCTGTTTTGTTTACGAGGCACTATTGGGGGGGATACTTGAAACAAACAATAAAGTTTATGCAACGCGGTGGATCAGCCAAATACATTAAGCTCACTTATGGTACATGGCAAATAATGTAAAGTGAAGCTTATGCCATTCTGCTGTCACAAGAAGATATCAGTCTTAAGAGCAGTCTCGTGCACAGCGTTTAAATTTGCAAGCCGTTCCGTAAAAAATGAAAAAAAAAAAAAGAACTGGTGAGGCAGTTGAACTATGTGGCTGCTACTACTAGAACTGTATCACAACGTCCGTACACTAAATATTTCATAATTGAAGGCTTACAATAGGAAATGCAAGAGACTTGCCTATATATGAGTGCATTGTTGGCTTGGGTTTCAACATGACCCGAAAAACTTATGTACTCAATTGGAATCCAGTATTTTTGATTCCCTTAATATAAAGATTACTGATGTCTTCAGTTTGATGCAAGGCAAAGCAGTGCTGGTAAGGCCTAACACTGGTTAGGCCGCACAGCCTACACCCCAAGGCAAACCGGAGTGTTTGTAAAGTCTGTCTGCCCAATAACAAGTCGTCATCTGGCTTGCTTGCGTTTTCTTTCCTTGAAAACGGTGTACCCATTACTTTCCTATCAAGAATGTTATGTCGCTCTGAACTCTGCATGCCAATTGTGGCCAGAAAGTATTGGTAGTTTGCCTATAATTTATAGAAAGCATGCACGATGCAATGAAACTGCTTTATAAGAGGGGCTGATGTGACTGACCAATTCGCATAAAAGACATCAGTGTTCTATATAAAACAAGGGTTGATAAGAAAGTATGTATATACAAACCACCCTATGTATAAGAGACACCCCATATGAAAGACAAGGATTGGTCCCCGGTGCATGTCTTGTAGATTAATTCTACTGTAGATAGTTATTCATGCGTGGCAGAAATATGCTCTAAGTATGCATTTTTGCCTTGAAGTGTCTTGTCTCATTGGTTATCAGGTTTGGTGTGATGAGCGCTACTTTTTCTAGCACCATTTCCAAGAGCTGCATGCATATTTTAAGGCAACGGCCCGTACTTACCACAGACATGACTGCCAAGTCGTGACATGTAATTTTCAGTATATTTGGCATGTTTGACATACCGTCGTATCTATTCGACCGAGGTTTTGCTGCACATTTTTTAATGTTACCGTAGTTGGCTTACTCCTGCAGCTGAGATGAGTCTTTGGCACCATCTTGTGAACACTTGCAACAATATATATGCCTTGTATACACCTTTCTGGAGAGCTTTTACTTGTATATTGCCACATATATTGTCTGTCTGGTGCGTGAGCTGGGTTTTCAAGATGCTGTGGCCATGACGGGATTCTGCTACACTGCCATTATTCCATGTGGGGTGTGTAGTTTCGATGAACTGTGTGCGTCATGTCTGTTTATATGATACCAAATGTTATTTTTTATACCCTGTTTGGTGTGTTCACAAATAAACGGAAACATTTTTCACATCCGAATGGCGTGTATGATTTTTTAACATTGCCTCCATAGTTCGAGGCCAGATTAACAAATTTTGTTAACTGTAGTTTAGAATTATTTGGGCCCATAGGCCTTATTGTGATGTTTGCTGTTGAATTGGCGACCGCTTAACATGTCTTAAGAGCTGTCAAGTGATGCAGCATAATGACGTTTAGGATTTCAAAATGCATTTTGGCATTCTTAATGCGCATTTCTGAAAGAATAACCAGAAACATGGTTGTGCTTACAGTTTCTGGAAAGGAACTATGTGCAGAAGCTCAAAAACCAAAAAAATCTTGAGCCTGCGAGACACCTCTATCGACACACTTTTAAAAAAATCTGCCCCTAATGGCATCTGTTCTATATTTACTTTTTTTTGTGCCGCTGCCTTGTTGCATAAGATTGTTTTTACGGCCGGGTATACGGCTCCGATCACATGTGCTTCAAAAACGCTTGGGGAAATGATAGAATTATGCTGGTGGAAGTTGCCTGCAATACCGTCTAGTGGAGCAGATTTTGTTTCTTTTAATATTTCGATAGCAATGGCAAACGGACAAGATTTGATTTTGTTGCACAACTGTGACAGTACTGCTTTGCATCAGCACCATTCACTTTAGTTATTCAGCCAATTGTGCTGCGTTGAAATGGCAATGCAACTCGTCATTCTGAGCGGGTGTTGACGCTGTTATCAATAGTTGTGCAAGTAAGGAACAGACTCTGTTTTTAACAGCCACCGCACTCTGTACAATATGTCAATATGTTTACAGGTGTGGACAGATGTGGTATCCTTGGAGACATACTAATTTTTTCAGGAAATTTTTCATGACTCTGCGAAGCAGTACTAAGTCAGCAATGAACCTGCCACTTGTCAGATGGTACTTTCTAATGCCGAATCATGTGAAAATCGCTAATTAGTTATGCTATTAAAGTTCTTTTTCAAGAATTGCATATTCTTTTGCAGGTACAATCTAGAGTTGTGACATAGAGTGAAGTTGTAAAGCACCTGTCTAGCTGTTCTACATTACAGAAATAAAAAGAGAGAAAGAGAAAACTTCATTGAAAAAGAAAGGAAAAGCCCTCTATAAAAGTTTAACATAGGTAGTCTCATATCATACAATGAAATTTGCTAAACTAGAAATGCTTAACCAACCACTTTGCTAAAAGTGGCATGTCTCTCTCGATGTGTCGTGGTACAGTGCAATATGTGCTTCTATTGTATTCTTGCATTTACACAGGTGTGATGTCCAATCAAGTGTAAATACTTAACTGTGCAGTAGTGTAGGGTTTATGCGAGTAGAGCCAGAGGTATCGGGCCATCTTCAAAATATATTACTTCTTTGATCGGTCAAGTTTGTCGGACATGACCGAAAGACAATGTGTAATGGCAGCAAGCATGAGAATCTGCACTTCCGAAATAACTGGCTTAAAACCAATATGTTTGCAACAATATCTGTTATGATATCAGGTCAGTTGGCATGATCCCAGCAAACTTAAAAAACAATGTGTTCCTTTGGATAGTGGAAATGTTTAGCAGGAAATTTGCAGTGTGTTCTTGCTCTCTACTGATGCTGCTTTCAACAAGATTGATGCCGCAGGGGTGTACCAGCGGTAAATAATGGCACGCACAGCCAGCAGCAATGATGCTTTGTGTTGTATTGGTATGGCCATTGGTTTTGCTCTTTATTCAACAGGTCTTAATGCCATAAGCATTTATGTGTCGTAATGTCTTACGCAGTTCCTGAAAGTTGGTGAGCTGTTGATGGCTGAAACTCAATTCTTCGGTGAATTCCATTTTGCATCTTTATTTTACAAAATAGGCATCAACCTTGTATATATAACACTTACAGCGTTGGTGCATAGCAACCTCCCCTCTCTATTATGTCATTATATGGGGCAGAATTTGCATCCCTGCCCTCTTATGCAAGTAGGCTGGTGGGTGCCCCTTTGCCCTCCCCGTGCACATGCCTATGACTTTCAGCACTTATCCGCTGATACAAAACACATGAGAACTCTTGTCAAGTTATCTTGGGCCGTCAGTTACAATTCATTACATAGGTGTGACTCAGTTACTGGGCAGTAAGTTTCTAAATATACAGTAGCCTGGAGCTCGTTGCAGGCCACTTTCTCAAAGACTGGCAAACTCGGAAATGCAGAACACATAGAACATATTGTTTTAATTTTTCACTTGTTCCCGTTTGAATTGGTGGTCATGGTTCATTCAGTATTTTCAGACGTTTCTTGAACGGGTAAGTGCAGCTCTCGTGTGGCACTTGTGCATTTGCAGCGGGCAGCCTGTGCCCAGCAAAACATGGAGCTCTGTGGAAGCCGTTGCCCGGGCGCTCGCTTCCACTTGGGACGATGCTGTAGAATGGGATGCTGTAGCTGACCTCTTTCGCTTCTTGCGAAATGCTTTTGCCAGCTCTCCCGAAAACTCCACTGCCGCAACCAGGTACATTCCCCGCGTATTTCTTTTACACAGCTAAATTTGTCCTGTAGATGTTGTGGTTAGTTGTTGTCGACGACTACGAAAACAACTGTAGTCCTCGTTACAAAAACTTGTGAATCAATGTTGCTTCTTGGAGGAAGCTTGAGTGTGAGTTTTTTGTCGTGAAAGTGCTATCAAAATCGATTTATTCCCGTCGTTGACGTATTGTTTCACTGAAGGTTGGTGCATCTGGTCGAATTCTACTTGTTTATGTTATTTTCGGAGGAGGAAATGTTGTAGGCCCGTGTGCTCAGATTTGGGTGCACGTTAAAGAACCCCAGGTGGTCAAAATTTCAGGAGCCCTCCACTACGGCGTCTCTCATAATCATATGGTGGTTTTGGGACGTTAAACCCCACAAATCAATCATTATGTTATTTTCTGTGTTAGCGAATTTTTCATGGGATCAGTATGAAGGTGCCGTGAAGACGTCTTTATCATTTAAGGATTTAGTCTGAATAGACGCATGCTAAATCTAATGGAAGCTGGGCTAGATACCTTTTCAGCTTAATGGGGATTCCAGCTTCAACGGTTACCTAGACCTGCACTATTCCTATTGTCTTAATGAACAAAGCTGTCCTTTTTCTCTGTAAATCACAGCTGAAATTTGACATCAGATTTACTTGTTCAAACCGGTGGTAATGTACAACATCCCAGCGTTATTTTCTTTGCTGGCTCTTCATGCAATTACTCTAGCATTTAGGTGGCTTACACATATGGTGAATTCCATTGAGAGAACAGGAGTAGAGGGGCAGGGCACTGAGGATATGGGGGCGGAGCACTGAGAGCCGGGCTACTGAACCTGCCATTGGAATGCGCCGCCCTCCCCGAGGACAGGTGAGGAGGTGACGAGTAGGGAGACCATGTGATTGAAACATTCCAAGCCCCGGCATATTCTTTGTTGGGCAGCAGCCAAATACGCGTGAAATGGGTTAGCCACATGTTCTTTATTATCCTAATACTTAGTATGCTTGTGCAATGACTCATTCGGCAAACGTCCAGCTTTCATAGTAGCCATCCGTACAAAACAGCGGTTTCAAACTACACATGGTTGCTACCATTGCCGCCGCATTCGCTGGCTAAAGAAAAATTCAGAAACTGTGACGTTCAGGGCCACGTGACTCGCGTTACTCCACTTACTCCGCTTTTCAGGCGAGAGCATTACAAACTGCTCCTGGCTGCTCTCGGCACAGCAAACGCCCTCTCGCTCTACCAATGGATGACAGTGCTCCGGCACCTGTACGACCTCTGAAACACGCCGGCTCAGAAGAGAGTACTTTCAGCGTGCTTTTGAGTGCTCCTCCTCTTTCAATGGAATTCGCCAATAGAGAATTTGGGGCTTTGAGTGTTACAAGCATCCAGAAAGTTTACCGTAGTATAAACGGAATAGTTGCAGATGTTCAATTGCATTCCAGTCTACCAACTTAGGATATATTGTGTCATTTATTTCAGGAGAGAAGGGCTGATGCAAAGTGTAAAGACTCTGGTGAAGGGCCTCTGTGAGCTTCACATCAAAGATTCTTCGCATGCCGGTTTGTGGTCTTCTACGTATTTACTGCAGTAACTCTGTTGATGAAAGCAACAACTCTTCTGAATTTTGTAAAACTTTGTGTTCATTTTCATATGCAGGGCTCATGCATTGAAATATGCGAATTTCAGGCTATGCAATGGACATCCTTTCATTTTCGCTGTCTTCAGTTCGTGTCCTATTGGCGTAATTTTGACTCGAACACTTTATATCAGAGCAATATTGCCTTATCCTGCCAGATTCATAGCAACATGATGCAGTTGCTTCAAGCAATCATGCATGCCATTTGTTATAGGGGAAGTTCTGATGTGGCATATCAATACATGAGCACTGTACGTTGGCTTTAACCATCCTTAGTATTGAAATTAATGTGATTAGCAAACAAACATATTTTCACAAATTGAAGTCAAACACATAAGGCACTATTCTCTGGAATTTGCATCGTTTCCATATACCTTAAAGATCCTCTGAGAGTGAAATTCTAGTTCGTAACTTTCTTTACTCTATTTTGTGGCTTTATATCTGACAATGCCAAAATTGAATCAAATGCTTAAGTGTATCTTGTAAGTAATGCTAGCATCGTTAATTGTGACCAATTTTAGCGTTACCGTGAAATGCCTGCCTAAAATTGTAAGACACTAGTGCACCACAGCCCAGGAGTGCACCTATATGTCTGCTCCAGCTTTGGTAATGCTGCCTGTGCAGTTTTCAATTAGAGGCTCCGTGCATGTTAAAGAATCAGTGTGAGTGCTTTGGTATGAGTTAAGCTTGTTAGGAGCGTGTTCCCTCAGGAAAAAATTTCTTGCGTTAGCCCAAACTACCCTGACAGTAGGCTAACAACAGAGCGAGAGCGGTAAGTAGCAATGGCCTTCGTTAGGTGCCAGTCGTGGTTTTGCATGTGCTTTGTGAATGTTCTTGTTTTTCTTGTACATTGTCATACAGGGCCTTCATCTACGTCATACTAATAATGACATCGCAAAGTGCTGTCAACTCAGATGCTCTCAAGGTTACCTAAAAACTGAATTCAAGAGCCTCAGAGGCTGCATTCACCACTAATGATTGACCAGAAGTGCCCGTGTATACAGGACAATCAAACAGCACAGACATCTTGAGGTTGCCATTGTAGTGTTGGGGGCCCTCCAAAGGGTAACGAACGTTCTTTGTGTGCGACGATTGCATCGTTTCTCATTGAAAAATGCTTTTCAACTGCACTTTTCATTCTAAAAGGCCGCATCGCAGCCTGAAATGAGCAATCGCCTTGTGAACTATTATGCAGCTTTATACTTTACAAGTTTAGGTGTAAATTTGTCACTAGCTGTTCTGGCTTTTTGTCTGAATGAAACATGAAGACGTCACTTTAGCTGTTCACATAGAGGTACGGCAGTTGTCATCATTCGCAGAAGTGTAAGAACTCACGCATGTGTACGCCAGCACTGTCATTTTCATTGACCGCCATTTACTAGAAATCAAGAAACAGGCAAAGTAAAAGTTTAATGATTACATATGTCAAGATCCTTATGTTTGTATCCGCTCATGTTTTGTCATTGCATGCCCATGTTACGTCGTTCTTTTTTGGTGTCATTGTTTCATTTGCACTGGGTGATTCCACGAGAGATCGACACGGGTTCAAAAATTGATACTTTAGATTTCATTGAGTATTTTATATTTCGTGCACCTCTCACAAGGTAGCCCGAAAGTCAACTTCGTTTTATGATTAACGGCATAACTTACGAGAAAAAAGATATCTAACTTCACCAACCCGGAGGCACCAATTTTGTCACCTGTCAATTTCGAAAATTGCAGATGCTATAAAAAGACAAACATTTTTGTTTCAAGGAAGATATTTTTTACCTGAAATGCATGTCTAATGAAGAATGAATTCATACGGTTTCAAGTTTGCGTACCTTAAGAAAATAGCTTTTAAAAATGTTTAATTTTGTGGCAGTTTAAAATAAGTTACGTTTTCCCCCCTTTTTTTTTCTCCGAAAGTAATGCAAGCAGCATTTTCAAACTTGACACGTTTTAAGGATATAGTTTTAAGGATATAGACTTTTGGACCCGTGTCGATCTCTCGTGGAATCACTCCTCTGTAACTGAAGATGCAGTTGTACCGATTCACCCGATTACCTACTGTGCTTTGAGGTAACTCAGCAAAGCAAACCGTATAAGGAGTTACGTCAGCTACATAACCACATTTGTTATGGCTTTCTGACCAAATAGTGCTTGGAAAATAGTTCCCTTTAGTATTATTTAGTAATATTTAGTAGTATTTATTTAGTAATATTTAGTAGTATTAAAGTAATTTATTTAGTTGTATTTTCTTTAGTAAATTTTAGTATTATTTCTCAAGGCCGGCTAATTAGATCATTCAATTATCTGCACCAAGGCACCTTTTAATGTTCATTCTTGCCTTTGCTTGTTTTTCTTTCAGAGTGCACAGTAGGGCTCCGGTGTAGTTTACAGAGCTTGGGAAATCTCGTGTGTAGCCACCAGGCCAGTGAGAACCTCGTATGGGAACTGCTGACAGCACAGGAATACAAAATGTAAGTATGGCTTTGAATCCACAAGCTAATGCTTGTGGATTCACGTAAGTCAATAAGAATGCATTGTTGGCGAGAAAATGTTAACGTTTTCACCAAGAAAGAATTTTCACGCTAAGGGAAAGAAAGGCATGCAAGATATGTTTATTGATGATTTTTTGTTTAGAGACAAGTTAAGCTCATGAATGTGCAAACTTTTTTCTTATTGTGTGGCCTAGTTTGCTGCTACAGTTGAACCCCAGGCGTGCTCAGGGCAGCATTTGTTGTCTTTTATATGATATGTCTTTTATAAGCAGGGTACCACATATGCATTTTCTTATCAATCTTTATTTTACTGTAGGTTCACTGGTGGCTCTTATACTCATTTGCAGGGTGCATACAGGTCCTTGAAAACCTTTGAATTTGAAAATGCATTTTCAAGGCCCTTGAAAGTCCCAGAATTTTTTCTCGTTCTTGAAAATCTTCGAATTTCCTGAGCACTTCCAGCTGACATTGTAGCCTCCTTTATGTGGTAGATCAACATACTCGCTAAGTCTCTAGGATTTCGACCAGTTTCTTATGCTTGTATGATTGTCAGAAAAATCTCCCAAAAATTGAAATTTCTGTGCGTGATCTGGCTGCATTGATGAAAATTCAGCCCTATCCAATTCAAGTATTTTGCGAAACCATCGCAACCTATTGTAAACGAACTTTATTCTGAAACTGTGGAACGAAGGTTGACAGTAGCGTGCTCGAAGCTCCAGAAAGACTCGCACAGCCAACGCACGCACTGTCAGAACTGCGGTTATTGTTTGCCACAACCACTGTGGATGGAACCCTGGGTTACTCTTGACACGATCATGTGTGCCAACAAGATAAGTAACAGAACTCCGAAAGTGCACGTGCATTCAGCGCTCGACCAGCTAAAACGACGTTGCTTTCCACAAACGCTGCGGACAAAGTCATCGCAGATGCGAAGATAAGTAGCAAATAACAACATGGTTTTGAAGGCACGTGCGCAGCGAGTGCACCCGGATTGGAAACATCTGCAGTTTTCTGCAACCGTGGCGTGTGAAACTGCGGTTGCGGTGACACGATTACTAGCTGAGGGCAAACAGCTAACACCGCGGTAGAGGCGATAAAGTTGTAAAATATGCTAAAGGCGCTCTGGCGTTCCTTTTCAAAGAATCTGGTAATGTTGTTCCTGTTGATCTGGGTACGTTGGCTATACTTTGGCATTAAGTTTTCAGTTACACTTCTTTTGGGGCTAGTTGGCTCACACCACAAAGAAAGAGACGACACACAAGTACTGTGTGTGTTGTCTCTTTCTTTGAGGTGTGTGTGTGTTTGCACTGTAAAAGTACCTCTATGATTAAGTTTTCAGTTCGCCTTGAGGGAAGCTTCGACCCGCCCTTTCCCGGCAGCTGGCTGTGCCGTCCCGTCCGTTCATGCGTGACCAAGGAAGACATGTGCGAGTTGTTTTGACAAAAATAGATTTTCTAGTTGTTTTGATGATGCAAAAAACAAAATTTTGAGAGATACAAGTATGTTCAGCCCCCTTTGAGGCTCGCACCTTTTACTACTGTAGTTGGAAAACCCTACCCTTGGGAGTTCGGCCACTCCAAGCTGGTATGAGACTGCATTACGCTGATGTTTACTGCCCCCCCCCCCCCCCCTCGCCCTGTTTAGTTTCGCTGCTTTGCTTTTGGTGGAAACAAGAAAGAGGAAAATAAGTCAGTGCAACCCCCCCCCCCCCCCCCCCCATTTCCCGTGGCGAAAATCTCCCAAAATCATCATCATCAGCCTGACTACGTCCACTGCAGGACAAAGGCCTCTCCCATGTTCCGCCAGTTAACCCGGTCCTGTGCTTGCTGCTGCGAATTTATACCCGCAAACTTATTAATCTCATCTGCCCACCTAACCTTCTGTCTCCCCCTAACGCGCTTCCCTTCTCTGGGAATCCAGTTAGTTACCTTTAATGACCAGCGGTTATCCTGTCTACGCGCTACATGCCCGGCCCATGTCCATTTCCTCTTCTTTATTTCAACTATGATATCCTTAACCCCTCATTATGGAGTTAGACAAGGAGAGTAGAAAGGTGGGTCTTAAAATTAATCTGCAGAAAACGAAAGTAATGTACAACAACCTCGGAAAGGAGCAGCGCTTCGAGATAGGTAATAGTGCACTTGAAGTTGTAAAAGACTATGTCTACTTAGGGCAGGTAATAACCGCAGAGCCGAACCAGGAGATTGAAGTAACTAGAAGAATAAGAATGGGGTGGAGCACATTCGGCAAGCACTCTCAAATTATGACAGGTAGATTGCCACTATGCCTCAAGAGGAAGGTATATAACAACTGTATCTTGCCGGTACTTAGCTACGGAGCAGAAACCTGGAGACTTACAAAGAGGGTTCAGCTCCCAAAATCAGAATTCTTTAACTCGGTAGGTATGCATCGGCATTGATTTGACAAGCCCCATTTCCGAAACAGTAATTTGGTGTGAGGTGGTAGGGTTTCATTTTCCAAAACTGCATGAGGAATAGTTTTACTTCGTCAGACCACGAACAAACAAAGCGAGCGACTCGTAATGTTCTTCGGTGCTGGCTCCGGCCCTATTGTGCAAGCGGTGAAGCTAGTGAAACTAAAGTGCAGACTAGACATTGAGATGTCCCCCGCTACGCCACCGATTACCAAAGAGAGGGAAGACCACTCAACCCCTTGTCTATCCGGTTCTTTCTTGGCTATGTGTCTCAAACATTTCTCACATACAGGGATTCGTACTGGGGCCGGGAAGTAAGAGACGCTACGACCTGTTTCTGTTTACTGATTCATTTAATTTATCACTAACCGCAAACATCGTATACCCGTGCACATCAACCACTACACAAAATTATAACACATGATTTAGACACTCGCGACATTCGACACAGTGTAGGCACATAAAGAAAGTAACTGCAACAATACAAGGGTATGCATATATAAAGAAAACACACGGCGACACAAATAATGAAGTTGTCAAGGAATAAAACCACGCAATGTCTCAACGCGCCGCTTCCCTGCCTGCAAAGCTCGTCTAAATAGGGTGCACAAAGTTCGTCTCACGAATGGTCGGTGCTATCAGTCTTCCTCGTCTTCGTCGTCTTCTTCGTCTCTCTCAGCGATTTCCATCTTAATCTTCTTTCATAACATCCCGCAATCACTTGCTTCCTCGTTTCTCATCTCTAACTTTCATTCCTCGTCATATCATCTCTGCCTCAGTCATCATCTCATCGACTCTCATTGCTATCTCTTCACATCCTTATCTTCCTTTTTCATTCCGTCTCTCTACCATCTCGAGCTCATCGCATCGTATCCTCTCACTCTCCTCTGACTCCCCTGTATCATCTCGTAGTCCCTTTTTGTAGGACCCGACTCCGCCCCTCCGTAGCACCTAACCAATTTCCACTGTTGACACGACACATTTCTCTGTCAGTCGGTGTGTGTCATTTTCGACGGCTGCTCCCGCGGCCCACACCAGTAGAAAACCCTCTCCCAAACGGAGCCGAGCAAGTAACAATGTACAAACTCAAGCCTCAGGGAGAGAGATGGGTGAGCCGTCTGAAGACACTTCAATTACGGGCGAACAATGGTCCCGATGCTTCCGACAAAGTGCGTCGTCTATAATGGCCAACGTTCGGAGTTTGCAATGTTGTGCCAAAATGTTTTCGGCCGAACCAATTGTCCCGGTTTCTGGTACTTGATGAGCCAATGTCCAGAACGAGTCTCGACATCTCCATGCAGCTCGGTGTCTCCCGCGAAATTCTCCGTAGCGGCCGCTTCTTTGTCATTCAATGCCGCGGGTGGCCATCCGCGCAGAACGCAGTAATGCGCCCTGGAGCCACGGAGGCTGACGGAAAGTCAGACTGGACCCGGCACAGGCGCTGCGGCAGGGTCGCATTCTCCGAAACAACAAAAGGTGCTCTGCTGCTCCCCCATGCCACAAATCTGAAGGGTGCGCGCGTATTATTGCCACGGTACACTGTCACACTGTCTGTAGACAACAAGGCGCCGCCCGGTCCTCGTGTTTGCGAGGGGGGGGGGGAACCCGCGAGAACAGTAGAAATAATACTTCTAGGTACTCCACTCTGGAATGCCCATTCGTTACACCGAAGGTTTTCTTTTCCTTTTTTTTATGCGTGGTGTAATGATGATTGTAGTGGGTCATGCAAATCTCGGCACACACATTGTCAGTGCTAAGCACGAGACGCTCGGCCCGGACTGTCGCTGATTTTGATAGCTAGGCCTACGCTCCTACCTGGTCTCGGATAACAGTTTTGACTGTCTCCGTTCTATATTACAATTGGTGGAGGTGCGGGGTCTCCTTGCAATCCTGGAGTTGCGAAGCCGGACTCTACCTGCTGTCACGACCCCTGCATCTGCCACAAGCCCTCCTCCTATGGCTTCCCAGCCCATCGTGTGCTCCGGCGCGGTCCGTCAGCGGGATCCTCCCATATTCAGCGGCACTGACGACCACGACGTCGACGACTGGCTGGCTACTTACGAACTCGTTAGTGTCTTGAACAAATGGGACGAAGCCACGAGACGGGCCACTGTCGGCATTTACCTCAGTGGCATTGCCCACCTATGGCTTCGGAACCATGACACCGACGTTCCCACCTGGACAGCATTCAAAGCAAAGTTCAGCGAAGTCTTTGGTCGTCCTCCTGTCCGCAAACTTCGTGCGGAGCAGCGCCTTCAGTCGAGATCTCAACTGCCTGGTGAGAACTTTACAAGTTACATAGAAGACGTCATTGACTTGTGCAAGCGCGTCGATGTGAACATGACAGAGGTGGACCGCATCAAGCATATTTTTAAAGGTATTGACGAGGACGCTTTCCAGATGCTCATTTCAAAAAGCCCTGCTACTGTCGCCCAAGTTACCGAGCTCTGCCAAAGCTATGATGAGCTCCGCCGGCAACGTCTCGTCACCCGCCGTGCTGTCCCACATCAGGAATCGATGTCCGGCTTAACTCCCTCGCAAGACC